CCTCCAAACGTTGAATTATACGGACGCAACTATGTCTTTTTTCCGATTGAAAGAATGCCTAAGTGAGCTTCCGTTCACCATTGAATTTTCTTGGAGCTATTTTGGACAAGGAGGGTATAACATGGCCGACAACACCGGAGTTGGATTCCTTATGGAAGGACTTCCAAGTGGAAATGGAGGGTACTATCCACAAGCTTCCAATGGATATTACGCTACATACGAATTTTACGCTCCCGACTATCCAGGAGTATGGTCGAGAAACGACAGCCTCACGACCTCCCCTTACCAAATCCTGAACTATTATGGCCGCGGTTTTGCTCTTTTCTTGGCGTACAGTAAAGTGGAAGTGTCATCAGCGAGTATTTCTATGTACTACAGCGGAGGACTCCAATCTGTCCAGGATTCTTACAACTTGCCAGATGGAGGCATATACAGACACTATCTTGAACCATCTAAATACACAGGTGCCGACAATCGTTATACGTACTTCGATGCCGCTTCCCCTTCAGGAGGACCTCCTTTGTGCACTTGGAGTGGATCAGTGAACACAACAAACAACAACTTTTACTTTGCTTCTTCTTGCGCAGGAGCTACTTCTTACCAGTTCTTTTATTGGTTCCGCATTCGGAAAGGGATCGCACTCATGCAAGCAAGTACTCGACAAATTCTCAATCATGTTTCATAACCAGGTGTTCATTTCAAATTTCAATCTCTCATAGAATAAATAGAACGATTCAGATTTGTGGATCAAGAATATGGAATGGTTTTGTTTCTGTTAAGAGATATGGAAGTAATTCATTTTGTTTAAAATGAATTCGATTCAAAAGGTCCAAAAAATTTGCGTTTATCTTAGAATATCGACAAACGAATATAAGCAGTCTTTTGAAAGACAAGAAGACATAGTAAACCAGTATTTAGACCAACATTATCCTGGTGTTCCCAGACAGTACTACAGAGAAACTATTTCTGGTGTAGCGGAAAAACGTTACTTGCTTGAAAAAATTGTCAATGACTTGAAGCCAGGAGACTTATTCGTTGCTTCAGACTTGGACCGAATAGCTAGAAGTGTTTTTCATCTTATGGCAGTAGCTAGAACTATCGAAGAAAAAAAGGCCTTTCTGCTTATTGCGAACAAACCTGAGATCAACACTAATACTCCAATGGGTAAGTTTGTCTACATTACAATGTCCGCAATAGCTGAATTAGAACATTCCATCATTCTGCAAAGATCCCAAGAAGGACTGCGTTTGGCGAGAATGAAAGGTGTCAAAATCGGTCCAAAAAGAAAGCTTCCAGCTGATACAATACTTCAAATAGCGCGAGAAATGAAGAATCCTTCTACTGTTGTGTCGAAATTAGCTAAAGTTAACAACGTATCTCCCATTACAATATACAGATATGTCAAAAGCGATGGGACTCTTACAGAAAAAGGATTCGACGCTGTGCGAGAAAAATACAAAGACTACGAAAGGGAAGAAACTGAAAGTTTCTCAGAATTTCCTAAAAAAGTGAGAAGACACACAAAAGAGGAACTTGGGCGTAGAGAGAAGCCTCGAAAAGCGCTACCTGCAACCAAGAAAAGAATTTGCTGAAAAAAAAATTCCTATCTTTTGTGCTTTCTCGAATTATTTTTTTTCGAATCCTAAAAAAAACTTTCGATCTAATGAAAGCGGCTGTGATAGTTTCTATTTCCGTTGTTTTTGCAGTCATAGCAATTGCTTTGGTTTACTATTTCTATGAGATTAATCAAAAAAAGAAAAGTGCACCTACTTCTAGTAGCAAAATTTCCTCATCTTCCTCCTCCTCCTCCTCCTCCTCATCATCATCATCTTCCACTTCATCGTCATCTTCGTCTTACACAACTTCCAGCTTTCCGAATATCGCAAAAACTCCCACCTGGCCTCCTTACCCTCTCAACGATTCCATATCTTATCAAGATTTCGAATTTGTCTGTCCCAGTGGAGTCCTATCAGGCTTTTTCGCTTACAACGGATCTTGGTTGAGTGGCCTTTCCAGTTTTTCCTGTTCAAATGGATCCTCCTACAACTTGACTTATGGTCAACCAGGCGGTAGCGGAATAACTATTGGGAATAATGGAACTACTTATGGAGTGCTCATGACTTCTCATGAAGGATCTGATCCTCAGTATCATCTGACTTGCCTAAACGTAGGAACAAACATTTGCTATGCCAACGTCTATCGAGAGACTGATCCCATATCTGTAATATCATGTCCACCTAACTCTACTATCGTCGGTCTTTACGGAAAACAATTCCAATACAAAGGTTCTTCATATTTCGGAAACTTGGGATTTGTTTGCGGTTCTACAAACTCCATTCAATCTTACGTACACCATTCTTCCGTTACGTTTGTCAACAGCACTGGATCGACTATTCCTATCGGGTTTCAGCAGCAGTTGGAATTGGACAGCACTGGGATAGGAATAAATTCTTCATGGACAAACGTCATGTTTGACTGCGATAGTTATCTAGATAGACG